ACTTGATTTTTCTGATTCCTTCAACTGTTTTCCCACAGTATTTCATTATGGAAAAGCGAAGTTTGGCTGGGCATTTATAAGTATTGCTCATCATTATGAAAGCGCAGTGTGGATCACTTCCTTTGTCAGTATCTTATCCACCAAGTCATTTGCACATCAGAATCAAATGGTGTGGAAAATGGTAAATGGACTGCACTTATATAGTGCTTTCTACCACGCTTGGACAAAGTGCTTTAAAGATTCTCTCTCTCACTCACACACACACATACACTCGCATGCTGATGGCGGCAGAGCTGCCGTGCAGGGAGCTGGCCTGGCCACTAGATGCAGCTTGGGGTTCAGTGTCTTGCCCAGTTAATGTTGGATCCACGCCAGCTAATGATTTCTATAGAAATGAACCAATGCAGGAATTGTATGATTTTATTGTTATGTATTGAACTATATACAACAACACAAAGGGGGTGTATGGAATGTAATGGGCCAAGTCAACATTAATTTTTTTTTTTTTTTGTCAGTTTCACATATAGAGATTCAGTAAAGGCTTTCAACCTAGCCCACATTTCTAAGAAGCTTAGGAAGAACTCACCAACAAATCTTAATACATAATGCATATGAGAAGAAACCCCTGGAGGATTTTACTCAGAATGTTAGGGGTGAAATAGTACCACGGGTCTTCTGCTGCTGAGGTCAAGCATATGAAGACCTTGGTTATCTAACTTTCTTCCTTTCTGTAATAGTTTGTCAGGCACAAACACACATTGATTAACATCAAAAGATGTAAATATGTAGCCAAAAGGCCGATTTTCATTCACAAGTCCCTGGGCAGGATGAAGTTATACAGGGAAAAATAAATAAATTACTAAAAGGCCAAAAGTAAATGCATAAGTTGATTTCTAAAATAATTTAGGCATCAACAGTCTTAACTTTTGTCTCCGGATCTACCAGCCTGTGTGTCATACTGCTTTTCTTTGCACCCTCCATTTCTGTCTCCTGTAACATTCGCTGTACCCGAGGATGGTGGAGCTTGTGTTTCTGCAGAAGATGCAACCTGACTGATCTTCTGCCGCTCCTCACTGCTTTTCAGAGCTGAAAGTCTTCTGCTGTTCTGACCTTCATCTTTCTTATTCAGGAGAGTGTTCCTCTGCTTTCCTGATCCTTTGTGGAGCCTCACTTTTCTCATTGATGAGATCTTTACTGATCCACTTAGTCAGGCACGTCCTGAACCCTAGCTTTAATTTGCAGGAGAACTTCTGTCAACTGATGAACTTTTTTTTTTTTGTTCCATCTGAGCCTTTGACTTCTCTCCCCTGAGAACTTTCCTTAGGGGTCCTGCTCTCCCAGGCTTACATGTGATCTCAACTGGCAAATTGGGGACAAAAAGTAATTTCAACTTACAAATTTGTTAATGCTACAAAAATCAACCAACATGAGCCAATTTGAAGCTACCAAAACTTGCAGATTGTGAAGTCTGCTTCTCCGATATTAACAACATACAAGTTCTGTTGAGTTTACTTGATACTTGGAGAAGAAATGGAAATTTGTCTGACATTGAACTGATTCATTTGACAAGGGGTCGATGTCTGTCACTTACACTGTTGTTGTGTGCTGTCATCTATAAGGATAATATCTCACTTGTGTCATGTGATATTTCCTTCAGTATCCTTGTAGATAAAGACCAGTTACCCAAACCAAGAGATAAGAGAGTCAGGGCTGTACATCTATAATCTCTTGCCACTCTGTCACAGAATGGGAGACAGGACAAAATTCTTTTTTGTAAGTTATGGCTACTGTCACATACCATTAACAATGAGCTGCAGTGTTTCTAAGTGAAACTCAAATATTGCTGTTGTTTTATTGAAGGCTGATTTCTCTTAGGAGGTGGTGGAGAGCAAAACTGTGCTGAAGAGGAGTTAATAACGAACAAAAAGGTGTTCTCTGCACGTCTTCCAACAATATGCAGCTGAGTCAGGTGCTTCTCATAATGTTGGACTTCAGGGGGACAGAAGCATGACTCCAGATTAATGCTAATGTTGCTCCATAAAAATATATGTAATCTTAAAGCCTCTGTATGTAGGATAAAAAATGATGCTTGGTCCATTCTAGCAGCAGTGTTTCCCCTAGAAAATATTTTTGGAATGGCAGGAAGAGGATGCTAGAGGTTTTGTGCACACATTCACCACTTTCACCTCTCTCCCTTCTTCTACCACTTCTCTGCCTTTCCCTTCTTCCTCATTTTCATTTGTCTCTGGAGTTTTGGGGAGAAACATTAATATTCGCAACTGAGCATCCCCTGGTTTGCTCTTCTTAGGTGGTGCCATGCTAACATTAATAGCAGCCAAATAACTTAGACTTAACTAGCATTAGTTGCTTTATGGGGAATCTTCTCATGTTTGCTCAGACTTCAGTACAACACAGATTCTCTCTGTGATGATTACTTAGTGATCAGTAGTGTTATGTTAAATATCACAAACTGGGTGAAGAATCAGTGAAGTTAACTTGTTGCCATAAACCTCGGTGTATTCTCAGGTCACGCTCACATTTTTGAGTTTGTTCCTTTTTTTTTTTTTTTAATACCTGACCTGTCATAAGCGAATCAGATTGAAGCAGGGAGGAGCCACAGAGAAAGGAACGCACCTGGCAGAGACTCCCAAATGCAAATTATTATTTCCAAATGAGTGTATATTGGATGGTATTATATATATTTAAAAAAAGAAAAGGCATGGCGGCCTGCCTGAGCAGTAGCACACTTGGCCTGACAGCAGTGTTCACTGATATTAGCAGATTCCTGTCAAAGTGAGTTAATTTCCTGGTGTAGTTTTTTTTTTTTCTGGGCCACATAAAGATCGTGTGTGATGTTTGATACTTTTAAAATGCAGGTCGTCCAGTCTTTTGTGTAAATATGCCTTTGAGTGCATGACCTGGCCTATTTACCTTCAGTACCTTTAAAACTATCTCATGATCCACAGAGAAATGTGTTGGTTTTAGCTAAAGACAGAATGACAACCATTAGAAACTGAACTGCAGCTCAAACACCGACTTTCTTTTATACACAGCACAGACTCTTGAGGCTCTGCTCTTTGCTAAATGTTGCCTATGGATACCATGTGCAGTTTCTAAAAGTACTCAATATTGTTGGAAACTGTGTACTAGGGTAGAAAAATTTGTAGATACAGAAAAAGCAAAGAGAAATGCATGGATGTTTATGTAGATTTTCCATCTAATTATCAGTAATTTGGATAATAAATCAATATTTTGAGTTTGCTTACATATAGCTTCAACTGTGTTAATGACTTTCTGGATTAAATATGCACATCTCATTATTATGTGTAGTCTGATTTTGTCTCCATGCTATAAGTGGAAACAGACGTAGGAGATGTGCAGTGAATACTTCAAGACTAAAGGATTTTGACTTTCCAATCCCTCTGCTCCAACCCCTTGGAACTCATTTGTTATAATCATAGACATGACTTTGATGCGTATTAATACAGTGGCAGTGGAGCTTTGCCCTTATGTGAATCTTCCCTTGGTCCTTGCTTGAAATGGTGACAAAATGGCAAAAGAGGCATGTGGCAGCATTGGTTGGACTTAAAAGGTTTACATTTGGCAAGCGCCGTCTGTATCCACTATGCTCAACACAGGGAGCAGCTGCTGAGAAATCGCACTGTTACTTCAGCCCATCATCACTAGCCCCAGGGCATTCACAGGCCAGTGTGAGCTTGGCTTCAGGGCTATAGGGGAAGAGAGTGCACTTAACTCAGCTGGCTGAAAGAGGCTTTCTGTACCAGGGGGAATCTGATATGAACACCAGCTGGCTGCAGGAACTTAAGTGAGATAAATTGCAAAGTAGTTGGTCTATCCTTCCCAGTTGAAGGTAGCAGGCAGAGGTTTATCTCCTAGGATATGCCTGTAGTCGCACGTTCTTGAGGGAACGAGGCAGGTTTGCATCCTGAGGTAAGACCTCAAAGAGATAACGTTAGCATGGAAACATTAAGATTCAGCACTGTGCACTGTTGCACTGCACATGCTGCAATATTTTAGAAAAGTTATAAATATCGTCACAAGAAAAAATAATGGCACAGTTTGCAATTTCCTGGTTTTCTGCATAAATTGATCATGTGATCTGATCTTCACCAAAGGCACAAATATCAACAGACACAAACAGTCCTGAGCTTTCATGTCTTTGTTGAACACGCCCATGGAACATACAGGTTTTCAACCAGTTTGTGTCAGTAAGTAATGATGAAATCCCACTGTATGACCAGTAATTCTGAAAACTGCCTTCACCACTAGTATATGGGAACAAGCTACAACAGAGGGCCTGTTTTTCTTGTATTTGTACCATTACTGGTAATTACAATCTTCTTCCCCAGTAATTTTAATTTGATGACTATTTGTTTAGTTAAATGTTGTGTTAGTATGTACATGTCAACATCTTGTGCAGCCATTGTGAATACTATTATATTGTTATCCTGTGGAGTGTCGTAGTCATTTGGAAATGAAGACACGGTGTACCATGCTATCATTTGTAAACTATTGCACTACATGAATATTTCACATTAACTTTTAATCTATAATTAATTAAAGCAACAGTTAACATCAGGTTTTGTGTCACTAGTTCAGAATTAAATATCCAAAAATCTCACTATATCTATACTATTGTTCAGCAGTCGGTCACAGAGAAAACTCTGTACGATTCTTAGTTGTTATTTCAATCTCCACCTACACATAACACCCAGACGTGAATGTAATTGATGTTCTCGGGGGTTGTCAAAAAATATTCAGGGAAATGCAGGAAATGCCAGGTGAAACAGAAGCAGAAGAGACAACTTGGTGCAGTGAGATTTCATAAAAAATAAATCACAAAGGGAGTACACAACAACAGAATGATGATGATTATTGTTGTTGTTATTTTTTTCTATCCTTAAACATATCCAACAGTGGCTTGTTCACTACATTCATGCTATTTTTTTTTGTGTGTGTGTGTTCCCCGTGGCTTGTAGGTATGAGCTGCTACAGAAGCAGCTTTTCCAGCTGGAAGAGGCAGAGGGAGGCTTTGACCTGTTCACACGCAGTTACAGGACCTTCGGTATACAGCGACTGCCTGACAACAGCCTGTCCCTTAAAGAGTGGGCTCCAGCTGCAGAGGCTCTCTTCCTCACTGGTGACTTCAGTAAGTAGTCTGAGGAGAACTATCAGCACCTGAGCAACACGTGATGTCCAGGTTGTTTTCTCAAAGCTCACTGAGCTTTATTGCTCATCATTTATATTTAATTGTCTTAGGAAATCTTCATTTGTTTTTGGTAGAGCAGGTGTCTTCGCTCCACTGCAACCAACTGAGACTTTTAACATAAAGGTGCATTTAATAGGCATACTGAACATACAGTATATAGTCCTGTTGGGACCAAAAGGAAAAAAGATTTCACTGCAAACAGAAAGGCTGCATATTGTGTTAAATACAAAATTTGACATTTCTGCAAGCTTAAATGCAACAGGGCCAAAAAATTAAGAAAAAGCACCTCAGACTTTGGAACAAGAGCATCAGCTCTTTTGATCAACCAACCTGGGAGTTGGAAATGTGGGAAATATTGATTACACAGGATAAACTTGCATACTGAAGGGGGTTCCTTTGAATCTGGGAGTATTAGTTAATATTTTAGTAGCTGGTTATTTCATCATTGCCTGCAAAGTTGTTGAGAGACTGCAACCTCTCTGTTTGCACTGAAATTTCTATTCCCTCCTGTTCCAACTTTGAAAGTAAATTCAGGTTAATGGTTTTTTTGAGTGTTACTTTCAGTTAATGCGTGTTGTGACAGTGCAGCATAATTATTTATTTTTTTTTATCATCACTTACAAGTTTAAACGAGACTCACTTTAATCTGTCAAATAGATATGCATGGTAATATAAAGGCTCTGTCATTTTCTTCCTTTTTGATTCTTTTTTGTTTCTTTTATCACATTTATTATTGCACTGAGATCTATTACACGTGCCCATAGTTATTTGTTACTCTCACCGGACAAGCAAAAAATATAATGGTAGAAAAAAGAGTAACAAGATGTATGGTGAAATAATTCAGACCTGTGCACATATCTCAAATACCGTTTGCCATGGCCCACCACAGCACACTTCTTACCTCTGGGCCACAGCCATTCTGAACTGACACCCTGCAGATAATGATAAAGGAAAGCAAATGCTAATAGTAATACCCTCAGATTGATGGTGTGTGCACGCCCAGAGATTTGTCAATTTGTTATATTGTCCCTACACATTTTTGTGCTAGTTAGTTCTGTTGCTGCCATTCCCTCTTTCTGTATTTCTCCTGTTCCTTTTCCCTTTTTAATTATCTTCCCAGAACCTTGGGCAGCAGCTCAATTCTAACATTCAATTCTGTGAGAGATTATATTTTGACATGGCTCAGTCATATTATTTGAAAATCAATTTCATAGTAAATGTGGAAACAGCCCAGCAGCCCTAGTCATGAATATGGTGCAGGTTGGATGCATAATGCACTTTTTTTTTTTCTTTCAGAGGAGTTTAAGCAAAGGGAAATAAATAAGTTTTGGCCTGCTTTTGAAAAGGCTAGTGTTATGCCCGGTCACTTCTGGAACATCTCCCGTGATTCACTTTCTGTCTTGCCATTGTTTTTGCTCATGAATAGCAAGCAGATCTGGATTACTGAATAAAAACAACACCCTAAATTGACCCACCCAGATGGGCACTTTATAATAAATGTTTTGTGTTCTAATATACTCATGTGAGTCAGTGACAGCTGGTAATGTGGTATGAGCAGGTTATGGATGTAACTTCTCTTTTCGGTTCCTTCACAGATGTAATTCAGTGAGGAATGAAATGCCTTTTTTTTTTTTATTACTGTTTTTTTTTCTTATTAGATTATTAAGATGCTTTACTCACTGAAACAAAAGTCACAGCATGCAGGAGAGCAGCTCAGAGTACAAAACCAAGAAAAGAATTATATAAAAGGTTTTAGAGGAGAGAGAAAGAGGGACAAACTGTGAGAAGAGTGAATGCAGAAGTCAGAAAAATAAAAAGGGCTTGTGACCACAGGGGGGGATATTAAAAAAAGAGCAAAAGCCATAGTGGTGACTGTTGGCTACAGGCAAAGTGGCAACACACCGCTGTAATAAGAAGAATGCAACTGTTAATTGTTTTATTTGTAATAAAAAATAATTAAAGCCCCTGTGGTAGGGATTTTTTCAGTTCTGATGTTGGAGACTCCTAGTGGTAAAATAATAAATAAAAAAGACTAAGCTATAATGTATAGCTGAAATAACATAGTTTTCAAATTAAAAGAATCTGGAGTTCTCAGTCGTCTGCAGCTGTAGTCATATGAGCCTTTCTTTGGTCATGACATTGCAGTACGTTATAAATGCCAGTCTAATTGGCACACTGGCACTACAAAATAGAGACAAGAGTAGTTATTTATAACAGAAGAGCTCACATGGGTCACAAGATGGCTCAAAGGAGTCGCAAGGTGACAAACAAGTCTGTGGTCACTTCATACCAAAGGAGACCAAAGGCACAAGAGAGATTCATGAGCTGACTTGAGCTCTGTTATTGGCATCTATGATCGTGGCTTTTGGAATTGCAGTACATTTAATCAGAATTGATGTCTGGGTCTGTGTTGTAAACTGAAAAATGTATGTGTTTAAATCCTCTCTGTGTTCACCCACAGATGGCTGGGACAAATTCTCCCATCCCTACACCAAGAAAGAATTTGGCAAGTGGGAACTGATTCTGCCGCCCAAGCATGACAAGTCTCCAGCTGTGGAGCATAACTCCAAACTTAAGGTAGGGAACAGAACATCTTCATGCCTATTTTCACGCCCTCAGTAGGTGTTATCTTGCTGCAGCGGCATGGGGACTTGTCACTGTAATATGTGAGGGAGATTCTCTGTCACATGTGGTGTATTATAAACTAGGTAAAAACCTGGCGTGTCGCTGTCAACAACCTGTCATACTCACAGCACTCTGAAGGGAGATTACTCTGTATATGCAGTCTGCACAGTGGAGGGTAGATACACATGAGGAGTCCAAATGATGGCGTTTATTTCAGCTCCTCCAGTATGTGTGGCAAGTATCCCTCCGGACACTGAGCTGTTGTTTGTTCGGTGCAAAACACAGCCCGCACTGGGTGTAGCTGATTGGTTTTTAGCTCTGGTAAATAATTCATCAGGGTTAAATGCAACAGACACACCTCCCATTATGCACTGTCTCCCAAGCAAACAGAATGGATGAAAAATAATCCTGAAATGAGATGCCAGGCGAGGAATAGATGGTACTGCAGCTCCACTCTCCTTGGGACCAGGTCATCTCTGGCACACTCCTGCGCCCTGGACAGGCTGCCCAGCTCCCATTGTCAGCGGAGGTCAGTCTAAGGACGATAAGAAGCAGATGGAAATGCTGGCACCTGGCCTTTCCTTGTGCACCCCCGCTGCCTATGAATGGCTGTCTTGCTGTGAGCTCCACTTTAGAATTAGTTCCACAGCACTCCCTCGTGGAAGCACAAGCATAGCTCCAATCACTCTCATGTAGAGTAGCCTGCCCTTCTACCCCCTTTGTTCAGGGCCCAATTTGTCTCCATAAACAAGCAGTGTCTTTTTGTGGGTATATTATTTACAGTGAGATTTTTGTGTTGCTTATATGGAAAAATTCAAAAAAGTGACTGGAAGTGTTATCCAAGTGATCAAACACCTACTTTTTCATTGCCACCTAACTTCTCGCATATTGCTTGGCTCTTGGTTGTTTTTCCTGTTCGTGCACCCTCTCAGTCTGCCCAGCAGTCTGATTTGTCTTTAATGTGCCTAATGCTGGCCAATTTGTCTGAAGGACCACTGCTCTGTCAGGCTTTATGCCAGTCCATTTATCCAACTATCTTCTTAATCCTATAAACTGTGAAGCATGTCATAAGTGGAGCCAGGCAGCTAACCCCCAGGTGCAATGGCCATAATGAAAAAACCCCAGAGGGGGGTCTGGCCAATGGCTTGCAGGCAGGTGGCGTCGGAACAGTCATTACTTCACAACAGTAGCCAGAATTAGTGGGGTTCTAATGCCTGTTTCTGCGGGGGATAAAACAGGGTGAACACATACTGTGGCTAACACTACAGGATCGATTTCTTGGTGGGTTTTTCCAACTTTCATGCTGGCTTTGTCCTTTCTTATTTGACTGATGGAGGCAAAGCAACTTGTTGTTAGATTTCCAAACTATACTTATTTGACCCCCTTTCAGTTCTGAATTGCAGACATAATAGATGAGAGGCAAAGGATAATGATTTAGATTTCTTATTTTTCTAAATTGATTTCTGGCCAGATCTGCTCTCAAGATGGGCCAGCGAGTGGCTGTGTTAAAACCAATGGAAAAGCTGCACCCCTCACAAAATAAACACAACATAATTACCATTGAATCCAGATTTACAACAAGATGTTTTCTGGTCAATACTGCAGCTTTTTTGTCCTCTACACCATAGTATGTCTTCACCGGTCTCTGAGATCCCAGTTGTATAATTTTTGAGCTGTGAGTCTTTCATCAGTGAACAGAGAGCTGCTTTCTGGAAGAGGGGCAGTCTTCATGTTCACACATTGAAAAATGCTTGGTTTAACAGTCAACAGCTTGGTTGACCGGTCTGCATCATCTTTTCTGTATAATGGATGGAGAGTAATGGCACAGTCTCATGATGTAAGCATTTCATGGCTGGAAGATTGCATACGTGTGTATCATGTGGTCCATATCCTTTGTCTGCTTACGAGACAATGTGTGGGCCCCCTTCTTCTCAGCTTATGTGAAGTGCCTGATGTGTCTTTTGAATGCTTGTTTTTTTGTGTCATTGTTTAAGTGCCCTTGTTATAACATACTCTGACACTCATTTGTCTTCTTTTCCCAGGTGGTAGTTCACACCAAAGAAGGTCGGCGGCTGTACCGGATCTCACCCTGGGCTAAATATATGACCCAGGAAAAGAATGCTGTCATCTACGACTGGGTTCACTGGGATCCCCCTCAGCCCTACATTGTAACTTATTATTTTAATTAATTATTTATTTATTTTTTTAGTTTGTCAACTTTAAAAACAGGCAGAAAAATCTGGGTGATAATTTCAAAAACACAAGTCGGCGCAGTGGTTCTTAGGGCAGAAGCGCACAAAGCCGACGTGAAAGAACTAACAGCGACGCAGGCCAACTGTTGTGTTGCCTCACATCACCTTTGTCTGTGGCAGCCAGGTCGAAACGTTGGCACTTGAACACACCACACGGTCTACAGCCAACGGCCAAGTAGCTTGTACATTCTGTGCCTGTGTGAAAGAACTAAGCTGTTTCTGCCACTGAGAAAGTGAAAGAAGAAAACCTAGACAGCAGAAATACAAGCTGTAAAAAAAAAAAAAAAAAAAAAAAATCTCCTCTGTTAATTCAGTAAAACTCTTGCATATTACGTTTGTCCAGTCTTAGCCTTTAAAATAGCCTCTCATGTTCTGGTCCTTCCATCCCTGCTTTGAAATCAGCCTTGCATCTCACATCTGAAGCCGCTGTGGTCATTCTTAATGTGGGTGCTTGATGGCTGCTGATTTGAGAGTATCTGAATGTGGCTCAATGCTACTTGATGTCCTCAGCACAAGTGTACACAAGCAAAACAATAAGAGGCTATTAAAGACCACCTTGCTTTCTTTGTTACTTGTTATTTGCTACTATTTTAATTAAAGGAGCCCTCTTACTGGCAGTATGTACAAGTGGCAATCACCTACTTCAAATAGTGGGCTCACAAGGCTGGTGGGTAGCCATCAGGAAATTTGTTTCATGTTTAAAACAAATCACTCTCCTGTTGTGTAAGTCAGGCAGAGTGAATAATAGATCTTTCAATATTTAACATGTCCAGAACTGTTTATCTGCCTCTGTGGCAGGATATTGGTGCAGAGACCCAGATAACCAACACTTTGTCTGTGACCTTAAGGTTCATAATTAGTTACCATGTTTATAAAAACATGCTGGACACTTTTCATGATTTTTTTTTGTGCTTTTTTTTTTTTGGTTTCCTCTCCAGCAAATCCACCCTCGGCCAAAGAAACCCACGAGCCTGAGAATATACGAAGCCCACGTGGGCATCGCTTCACCAGAAGAAAAGGTTGCCTCATATACCAACTTCACAATGAACGTGTTACCTCGTATAAAAGACCTGGGTAAGCCATGAGACCACGTTACCTCCGTAAGAAATAGCTGAGGGGTTCAAGAGGCTTTTTTTTAATACAGTAACTGCCGGTGTCCTGTGCCATCTCTGTCAACACTGGTCCATAACCCAGCACACATACCAGTCTGCTTTGAGTGCAACTATTCCTCTACTAGCGGCATTTCAGTTGTAGACCTGTCACACTCCCTCTGCACAAAACCACATCAGCAAGTCAGCATCCTGTTTACTGACATGACCGGAGGAGGTCACTGACTGTTGGGCAGTGTTTTGTAAAGAGGGCTCCACAGTACACCACATAGCTGGTACGGTTCCAAAGCTGACATCTTGTTTCCAGTTCCATGATCTAGACTCATTGCTGTTCTTTAACTTCTGAGCAGTATCTTGTGTTCTCATTGTATGTGCGTTTGATTAACTATGTGATTAATTTTCATAATGACTCAAATCATTATAAAGAGTTCAAGTCAAATGTGACTTTACCCTCATGGAACTGATCCCTGCCTTGGTTTGCAGTTCTGCTCATATGAGATGTGGCAGTGTTTTGCATTTAAATACAGCTTTGCTGCACTGACATTAATAAAAGGCACAGCTATGACTAGCACAGCAAACCAGGAGCAATCTGATAAATGCTGTTTTCTTGGTCATGTCGTCCTGTTTAGTGGGGAAGGGAACTGCCAGAATAAATGCTGTCAAAGAATCTACTGCAGCTAAGGGAATCTGCACAATAGAATTCTCCAGGAGGCTAAACTCTACCATCTTTAGCGATGGCTGCCTTTGCCTGCCATTTCATTTTCTTGGCTGTGGAGAAAGTGTATATATACTGTGTGACTATATAGTGGGTACGGAAAGTATTCAGACCCCCTTAAATTTTTCACTCTTTGTTATATTGCAGCCATATGCTAAAATCATTTAAGTTCATTTTTTTCCTCATTAATGTACACACAGCACCCCATATTGACAGAAAAACACAGAATTTGACATTTTTGCAGATTTATTAAAAAAGAAAAACTGAAATATCACATGGTCATAAGTATTCAGACCCTTTGCTGTGACACTCATATATTTAACTTAGGTACTGTCCATTTCTTCTGATCATCCCTGAGATGGTTCTACACCTTCATTTGAGTCCAACTGTGTTTGATTATACTGATTGGACGTGATTAGGAAAGCCACACACCTGTCTATACAAGACCCTACAGCTCACAGTGCATGTCAGAGCAAATGAGAATCATGAGGTCAAAGGAACTGCCTGAAGAGCTCAGAGACAGAATTGTGGCAAGGCACAGATCTGGCCAAGGTTACAAAAAAAATTTCTGCTGCACTTAAGGTTCCAAAGAGCACAGTGGCCTCCATAATCCATAAATGGAAGACGTTTGGGACGACCAGAACCCTTCCTAGAACTGGCCGTCCAGCCAAACTGAGCTATCGGGGGAGAAGAGCCTCGGTGAGAGAGGTACAGAAGAACCCAAAGATGACTGTGACTGAGCTCCAGAGATGCAGTCAGGAGATGAGAGAAAGTTGTAGAAAGTCAACCATCACGCCAGCCCTCCACCAGTCGGGGCTTGATGGGAGAGTGGCCCGACGGAAGCCTCTCCTCAGTGCAAGAAACACCTGAAGGACTCCAAGATGGTGAGAAATAAGATTCTCTGGTCTGATGAGACCAAGATAGAACTTTTTGGCCTTAATTCTAAGCGGTATGTGTGGAGAAAACCAGGCACTGCTCAGCACCTGTCCAATACAGTCCCAACAGTGAAGCATGGTGGTGGCAGCATCATGCTATGGGGGTGGTTTTCAGCTGCAGGGACAGGACGACTGGTTGCAATCGAGGGAAGGATGAATGCGGCCAAGTACAGGGATATCCTGGACGAAAACCTGCTCCAGAGTGCTCAGGACCTCAGAATGGGCCAAAGGTTCACCTTCCAACAAAACAATGACCTTAAGCACACAGCTAAAATAACAGAGTGGCTTCACAACAACTCTGTGACTGTTCTTGAATGGCCCAGCCAAAGCCC